GACTTTTATCTTCATTAACTTTTCGTTATCAATGTTATTTTGTTTTTGATGTGCTTTTTAGGTTGTTGGCTCCTTTTCCTTGTTTTTGATTAGCTTCATGAACCAGTCATGAAACTTGGGACAGTTTCTCTCGTCTCTTCTTCCACGGGTTCTCGCCAATTACATAATATTTTGATTGATTTCTTTTGGAAAACAGCCTCCGTAGCGCAGTGGATAGCGTGTTGGACTTCTAATCCAAAGGTCCGGGGTTCGAATCCCCGCGGAGGTGAAATCTTTTGTCAATTCCAATGGATTAGACTCGATTAACTTTTCTTTTTTATGCTTGACTTTATGTACAGTATTTACAAATGGTGTTTACTTGACTCCAATCACATCTCTTCCTTATTGTAAGGCATCTATCCACCGGCTACTGATTGTGTTGCTGTTTTGCTTGTAAGTTTACTGTCCACTTGATCAACCAATAGGTCATATGAAACTCTTTTTGTCAATTCCAATGGATTAGACTTCGATTAACTTTTCTTTTCATGCTTGATTTCATGGACAGTATTTACAAATGGTGTTAACTCGATTCCAATCACTTCTCTTCCTTATTGTAAGGTATGTATTTACCAGCTACAGATTGTGTTGTTGGTTTCTTGTAAGTTTTCTGTTCACTTGATCAGTCAATGAATTAAATGACTGATTATTTTCATTATTCAGAGATCTGTTAGTGGAATTAACTCGCTTGGAATAGCTTGTTCACACTACTTGTCATTAAATTTTTTCATTATCAAATTCATTACATTCCAGATGTACGTTTCCAGTGGCTTGGCTTCTCTTCCTTGCTTTTTGATTAACTGTTTGATGTCTTCTTTTGACAGTAAATGTTTACCAAAATGTCTCAACCTGGTTTCCTCTGTAATTGGACACGACAATATCCAATGGCTCGGTGTTTTGAGTTCATTTTTGCACCAACATTCTTCTTTATCACCATTTTCGTCTTGACTGAGGTAGTAATATGAGCCGGCCATAAAACTTAAAGCTTTCCAGCTACTCATGTACCTGCGTCCAAACTTCTTGACGATTGAAAAGATTTCGGATCGGTTCGAATCAACCCAGTCCAGGCCATTGCTGTATTCCTCAATCCATTTTGAGCTTATTTCAGCTAATTGTTTTTCTACTGATGTTATATTTTGTTCTTGTGTGGTAGCGTTTTGATGCTGGTTGACAAAACTTAAAAGCTTTGTTTTTGTTGCTTCGCTTTTTTCCGCTTGTTTAGTTATTATACGTAGTATAAACTCCCATGGAGGTTCAATTTTTGCGATAGCCAAAGATGTAATGTTGGCCAATGAAGGATTCTGGTGCCATATCTTTTTGATTACCTTTGATGTCAGACGTAAGGCTAGTTCTCTGTATGTTTTTACTGTCAAGTCTTGAAATGTTGATTTAGGTAAACCTCCAATTTGTGAGTAAACAAATGAATAAATTATCAATTTCTTCCATTTGTCCGGAAGTTTTGCCAGTCTATTTTGGTTCAATGCTACATTGTCATAAATACTCTTGATTTTTGACTTGATATAGTTCCAATGATGAATTTTTTGATTGTTTTTTCCAAACATGTAGCCAAGTATTTTGATATTGTCTCTTTCAGTTAGTTGAAGCTCATCGAGAGTAACTTTTGAACCGTTCTTGTTGTAACCTTTGAGCATCATGAATTGAGTTTTCCGCGGTTCCAGTTCAAGTTTGATAGATTTTAAATTTTCATTCAAATTTGTTAGCACTTGTTTAGATACTTGTTCCATCTTCTTTCTCGACCAAGCTGTTACAATGAAGGAAATGTCGTCAGCATATATTGCTGGTTGAATGTTTGTCAGTCCACTTCTCTCAATTGAATTTATAGCTCGTTGAATTGGACGAGAAGAACCAATAATGTACAGTATTGGTCCAAGTACCGAACCCTGAGGAACTCCATCCTTTTCTTCTCTCCATCCTTTTCTTCCCAAGTAAGTAATTACCGTGTGTCTCTCAGTCAGAAAGCTTTTGATAAGTTGTTTGTAATTTTCATGTAAATTAAATGTTTCAATGGTTTCCAAAATTGCTGTTCTCGATATGTTATCAAAGGCTCCTTTGACATCGACTGCAAAGAGTCCGGCCACCACTTTCTTGTTTGAATATCTTTCAGGTAAATGTTCAGTGAGTGTTTCGATTGCATCGTCCCTCGATTTTCCAGTTTGATAAGCAAATTGATGTTGCCAAATGTCTTCAGGTGTTTGATTTATTAACTGTTTTGATATTATTTTTTCCAGTATTTTACCATAAAAACATTGGACGTGGATTAACCTGGCCTTGTCTCCACTCGCCTTTGGAATCATCACTCCTCTTCCAATCTTCCATGGTGTTGGGAAATGTTGAGATGAAATGATTTGGTTGTAAAGCAGGGTAAAATAATCAATGTTTTTCTTCATTAATATTTTCAAAAGATTGCTTTTAACCTCTTCAATTCCAGCAGCAACATTTTTGACTGAAGATAGAGTTTTGATGAGGTCTTCTCGGTCAATATGTTTTTCCAATCGATATTGATTGTTGTTAATGTATTTCGTTGTCAATTTTGCTGGGGTGTTGGATAATGTTGACATTTTCTGTTCACAGTCTTTTTGATACTTTTCTGTTGTCAGCCAGTAGCAATGATCTTCGTCCTCGTTGTTGTTGTTTGTCTTGATTATTTTGTTGATCACATTCCATGGATTGTCTGTATTCTTGTCAATAATCTCTTTGAGTTGCTTGTTCTTCTCAACGGCTATCTTTCTCTTATATTCATTATCCAATGCTCTGTAATGTTCATTTTTTCTTGTAATACCAATTCTTTTGAGCATTTTTAGCCTGAGTTTGTATCTCTTTAATTCATTGCTGTACCATGGTTTGCTTTCTCTCCTTGTTATCATACATTCTTCTTTCATTTTTAGGACTTCATCTATTATTTGTTGACAGATTTGGTCGATTTTGACGTTGGATATTGGGCTTTCGTCGATTGATGGTGGAATCCAGTTGTCAATCTTCTCCATCATTCTCCTGTTG